GTGAAGAGGCAGATCCAGAATGAAAGAGCTAACATCCTTTCTAATAACAAACCCATTTAGATGATTTGAACATATGAAATTTAGGAGTAAATTTGATAGTCACATATTTCAAAGAAAGGAAAATAAACAGATCATGCCCTCCTTGGTAAGAAGTACAGAACAGAGATAGGCATTCGGTAGCATTCAATAGACCCACATGCAAACTTGCCTCTATCTCCCTAATGTGCTACTTCACCATCTGCACAGGGTCCCCAAGATGGCACCTCAGGAGGTCACCCTGCAGGGTGCTGAGAGCCAAAGCCCAAGTTTAACAGTAATCAGAGTCACCTTTTCTAACAGTTGAAAGAGATTAAAAACATAGTTATGGGGTTTAGAAGGAAGAGCTTTCTGGAACAGCAGGAAGGAGACACCCCAAATTGGTCAACATCCATCCAAATATGGGATAAGAAAAACAAGGGCAGGAAGATGTAGTCAGAAGAGTGAGGAAAGCAGGCAAATGACTGAGAAAAAGGATGTAACAAAGCTGTTCCCCACCCCTTGGCCATGCCACGTTGTCCAGGCTGTCTTCAGTAGGCTTAAGAAAAGGGCACTGCAGTAATAAAGTGCCATGATTCACAGGAGTGATTCACAGGCTCCATTGTTAACACACACTGTTCAGTTCCTCTCTGCTCTGCTCAGCCAAGCTCTTTGCAGGCCCAGAACCACGACTCTTCGGTGGCACTGCAGGGAAGGGCTGGAGGCGAGACAGTTGTCTATAGCAGGACCATGAACTTGCTACCTGTCCCTACCATGATTATCCAGAGCCAAGGCTCCAACAAGGGTGGGCCCAGGAAAGGATGATGGTGAAAGTGCTAGAGAGAGGCTTTTCAGAAAAGGGTTTGGAAGTGTTTCTGAGTTAGGTCATGTTTTGGCCAAAAATCATGTGAGGGTGTTACTCAAACATGGAAACGTTTTTATAATTTGTTCAAAACTTTCCAAATGAAGAGTTCTGGTGTTATAGTGTCTTTGGTTAAAAATTATAAAACCCTTAATACGTTTTGATTAGTTTGTGTTGTCTGTCATGAGAGAAGATGGAAATTCATTACTCAGATTTCCACAAAAATCTTTGCATAATTGATAAATAAAAATGAAGAATGAGCAATTATGACTTAATGTGATTCGTTGTGTTCTTCTTCCATTTAGAGTTACTAGATTTTGGAAGTCAGTGCATTAAAACCAACCATAAAACTAGGCTGAACTTGGAAAGTGATGTCTGAATGACTAATCACAGTTTTAAAACATTTGCAGTAATGAAGTGCTCATTATTCTTAAAAATACTGAACAGGAGTTTTATCATTAATATTTTTAAACATCGTATTTTAACCTCATTCAAAACTTCTATCAATTTAGTAATGCACAAAATTTATTAATAAACATACATCTCGTGGTAGAAATCCAAATACTTTATGAAGGTTTATAACCAAGACAGCGCTATGGTTATTTTGACAAATACAACGGAAAGTATCTATGAAGCCTAAATACTAAGAACATTCTTTTTAATATTTTGGTATCAAATTATCCAAATAACTGTTGTGGCTGCTCCGTACCGCATAGCTCTTGCATTTCCCTAATCATTCTAGTAATTTCTAGAGAGGGCAGCAAAATAGTTTACATAATAAAGTTTCTCTTTTATAAAATCAAAGGCAATTTTTTTTTTTTCTAAAAACATTACAAAGCAAAGGTTTTCAAAAGTCCAAAGGTAAAAAAGAAATAGTTGTCAAGAGCAAACATTGTATTTAATCACGTCAAATCCTGTGGCGATAGAATTCCTCTGCCCCTGGGTCCACACATAGGGGCCACTCCTGGGAGAGCCCCCCAGTTTTAACTCTGTATCAATTAAAACTACTGGAGGCATTTCAGGGATAAATTGATGTGGGCTCTTCAGAATAGAAGTCAGCTATGTGAAAATGAAGCAGACATCTCTCTGCTTTGTAAATTGATGTCATCAGAAATGGTTCCCCAAACTCACTGGAAGTAAAACTGGGTGGTGCTCACTACTAGGCAGTCAGAAGGCCAGGGATCTACTCTGATCCTGCAGCCAACCATCAGGTGATTCTGAAACTCTCTATACCTCACTCAGCATTTTCCTCTACAAAATGAGGTGGGAGGTGACTTTCTAGTATGAATGAAGGAAAGTTCCCTCCAGCTTTCCCAGTCCAGGATTATTTTTAGCCATGCCAAACCCTTAAAGCAGAGTTTAGATTAAGACAATGTGGCTTTTAAACTATTCTACATAGTTTCTGGGTTTTAACTAGAATTAGTGATCGGAGTCAACTCTTCCTTATAGCGGGCAAGACAGGGCAGCTGAAGGCTGGGAGGCAGTCCCAGAAGCCAGCAGTGGTCTCTGAAGCCTGTGTACCATCAGCAGCTCTCAATGCCAACGTCAATCTGAGTCTGAACTCTATGTATCACTAGTTGTACACACTTAGATGAAAGGCCTCTATAAAAGGACTCATACACGCATGCTGTCAAAGTAGGCAGCTTCCAAAATTCGCCATGGTGGCTTTTATTATGTTAACGTGGTTAATCCTGAACTGTGTTTCCCAGAGTCCCCTTCCCTGGTGGTTCCAATTCAGAATTGGCTCCAAGACGTGCTGGCATGAGATCTGGAAGGCCAAAGTGAAGCAGGTGCCATTTTTCTCTGAGATCATCATTGTTCAATGTGGTGTTGTGATGCGACAGACACAAAGGTCCTCACTCCCTTCTGCTTCACTCCAGCTCTTCTTTCTGAGTGCTGACGAGAATAGCCCAGGTCCACCACTAGCCACCTGGCTATAGACCCACGGGGATGGTCACAGAGCTTATGCCACGTCACCTGCCTAGGCACACTTCAGCAGCGGCGTTGTGCTTTGCTTCTCAAAGATGACCTGGTGACTTAGCCTAATTCACATGCCTTCTGCATCTTCACTTTTCCAGCATTTCACACAGTTGAGTTTGGTCTAATTCTGTAACAAAATCTGGTATTCCATGGGACGTGGAGCAACTCTTCTCCCATTTACCAAAATCAGACACACAAACCTCCAAATGGACATTGTTGTTCTATCCACAGGCCACCCTGAGAGGGAGCTGAACCGAGTGTGCACACTGAAGAGTCTCATCCCATTCCAGGTAGTAGGGCCCTTCTTGAGGCCTCATAATGTCTTAAGAGGCATAAATGGTACCAAAAGAATGACGCCACCAAGTGCACACATGAGTGTTGGGGAAATATAACACAAAACATGGTTTAAAAACTTGGCTCTGAGAATCTTCACACTCTGAGAATCCTCCTGATGCCTCTCTGCATCTTGCTGAGTCAATCACAGTCTGAGGCTGTCCAACCTACATCCATGGGCTCATGTCAACAGTCCTTTCTGCCCAGTGCAATCTCTTAACAGCCCTCATGGCCACATAAAACTGATGGAGCTGGTCTCATCAGTGCTAAACTCAGACCCTGTGTAGAGGCGTTACAACTTACCTAATAGACACTCAGATAACCATACTGGAAGCAGACACCAATATCTCAAATAATCTCACTGATGGTTGGGTAATGGCCACATGCAGACCATAGATGTTCATAAGGCATTCCTTTACTCCCGGGCTGAAAAGCAAAAATCCAAAGTTAAAAAAAAAAAGCACCATAAAAACGTGGGCATGAATTATTTCTTGTTTTATTGCTTTCTTGTTTCTTACTTGATGCAGAGCCAATGTTTTTGAGTAACAGTAATAAGATGTCCAAAATCCAACAGTAAACATTCAAATAGTAAAATCTGATAAAGAACAAAGTCCTCAAACGTTAACTCCTTTAAGTTACATCTAGTGGAACCACTAGGGATAAAGGCTGAACTCATTATCTTGGTTTCTGATGGAAACCGCTATCCTCTGAGCCAGGGGGCAGGAGGAAGTCTCGAGTGCCAGCCACCTGTTCAGGCACTGGGGTCAGCACTGTGGTCTCCCCGTGAAATGGCTAGGGAGACTCATAATGAGTCTAAGTACAGCAATCTCTCCTTTCACCCCAGGATTAAGAAACCCCTACAACAACTGAGAGAATCGAAAGAAACTCCTATGGAACAGAAGAAGTGTTACAATGATAAAGATCAGAAATGACTGTGTTGTCAAGGAAGTGACCTGTGACTGCACAGAACCCCATCTTTTTAAGGAAGCAACCCACTCTAAGTGCACATCGGAGAGGCTTTACACAGCGACTGGCTGCAAGCAGGACAACCATGAGCAGCATTTTGCTTGTTGAAGGCACAGGTCCTCGTCATCCTGAGGGAGGAGTCACTGTGTGCAACCTCTGAAAAATCATCAGCTGTCATAAATCTGATTGCAGCTTCAACCTGATCTTTTTCAAGTCCCAGACTCGTGAGGCACCCCTGAATATCTTGATGTGCCTACTCCTGCAAGAAGTCAGATTTCAAGGGATGGAGACTCAAAGGAACATGATTGCATTACATCACACAACAGGCAAAAATAAATACATGACTCTACAGTATGGGCATGAAACTACCAGGAAAGAAATATCTCAGACCCTACAACTGCAGTTCGTGTGCTAGCAATACCTGGTAGGGTCTAAAAGTGTCAACTGTCCCATAAAGCAACTACCTACTGTGACTTTGATCACCTGTACTTATGGGACAAGCAAAAAATGTATGAAAACACTCTCTATTTTTTTTAAAGACAAACTTCCTTAAATACTAAGGAGAGAGATTGGTTTCACTTGACAGTGATCAAGATATCAAAATTAAATAAATCATTTTCAATTCTTCCCAATGATCATCATAGGTTTCCATAACAAGAATAGGCAAGAACCAACTGCACCTTGCCAGTGACACTGAGGGTGTAGTCACACAAACCCTCTTGGAAGAATGAAGGACCCACACCTTTTCCTGAGGAATGATCTTGAGCTCTTCCAGCGTTTGAAATTCCACGGTATTATGAATGCTCTTTAGAAACACAGTGATACTCAAAAAGGAACCAAGAAGAAAACGTAAGTTGCGTTTATTCGTGTCCACACCATCTAAAGCTACTGTGTACAGTCATCAGGACTGCAGAAGGGACGATTTAGAATCTAAAACAACAACAAAAACACTGGGACACGCCCCTGAATAGCAAGTCTTGAGTTTTTAAGAATCTACTTGCTGGCAAGCCAGTTTCCTCCCTGAGAAGCACACTTCACGCTTCCTTCTCGCCCTCCAGCATCTTCTGTCCCTTTCAGTTAAGGCCTGGACAGTGGAGGATGGTGTTGCAATCTCTCTCGCAGAGCTGTCAGTCACCCGTGGGCTCCGGCTGCGCGTGCTCAGACCCCAGACGGCTTGGCTCTGCGCTCCGCCGCCGCAGCTCCTCCACGCTCTGCAGCAGTGCCGACCGCTCCAGCTCTAAGGTAAGCATGGCCTGCTTCAGCTTGCTCTCGTTGCTCAGGAGCTTCTCAATGGTGGCCTCAAGGCTTTGGATCCTACCATTTGCCACCTGGAGAATAAAAGAAGAAATGAGAATGCAATTGCCCGTGATAACACAGGAGGGATCCAGCGCCCACTTGCGTCCAGCCTTGGGAGCACTCTGGAGCTGTGTTTCAGCCATGATGAGTCTACATTTTTTTTTTTTTTTTTTGAGACGGAGTTTCGCTCTTGTTACCCAGGCTGGAGTGCAATGGCGCGATCTCGGCTCACCGCAACCTCCGCCTCCTGGGTTCAGGCAATTCTCCTGCCTCAGCCTCCTGAGTAGCTGGGATTACAGGCACGCGCCACCGTGCCCAGCTAATTTTTTGTATTTTTAGTAGAGACAGAGTTTCACCATGTTGACCAGGATGGTCTCGATCTCTTGACCTCATGATCCACCCACCTCGGCCTCCCAAAGTGCTGGGATTACAGGCTTGGGCCACCGCGCCCGGCCCAGTCTACAGTTTTATCATCAGTTCTGGCCACACAGGAAGGCCATTCTCAGCTCCCCTTGCAGGTAGGTGGACCAGGCCCTTAAAAGCACCCCAAGAGTCCCCAGCATTTTTTTCCCCTGCTGTGGCTGCTGATGCTGTGATGGTGGATCACAACACAGAGGGAACCCAAGTCCCCAGGCACCACCACTGGAAGGGCAGCTTGGATGGGGCCTAAGAATGCTTCAGGGAAGGGGGGGTCTTCAGTGACACAGACTTCCGGTGTGCCAAGCCTCGGGGATTTGGAACTTCACTACTGCAGCAGAGCCTGGCCTATTTTGATGAGTACATATATACACACACAAATTGATTTCGGACTGACAAAAACTCGAAACGGTTTCCACTTGAAGGCCCAAGGTAGTAACAGTCCTCTAATCTGAAATTCTTTGCAAACATAGTGATACTCAAAAAGGAACCAACAAGAAATCAAGTTGCATTTATTCATGTCCGTGCCATCTAAAGCTTCTGTGTAAAGCTAGTGATGTTCAGAGTAACAAGACATCACTATGTCAAGAAACACAGGCATTTCCCTGGAACACATGGAGTCCTTAGAAAAGCCAGGTGTTCTGCTAAGAGGTTGATGTGCCTGGTCTCGGTGACTGCTCACTACCAGCCACAGAGATAAGCAGTATCCTCTCTCCCACCCTACAGAGGAATGAGGCTCTCACTCAGTTTACATCTTCAGCATCTGGCACATAATTAATGCTAGCTAAATAGAACGACCAGGTGTATCTTTCTAGCGACTGTCACTCCTCTCTCTGATTTGCTCGGGCAGGCTTCCCAGGTGACAAGTATGTCAGCTCTAGTGACATGAAGGGGTTCCCTGAGAAAACTGCAGAAACTCTGTAACACTTATGCTGATGTCCCTGAGGCCTTTCTAGCCCGTTCCCCAGCTCAGAGCTGCATCCTGGAGTGCTCTGTGACTGGGTCTATCTCACTTATCCAGTCCAGATTTCACACGCCCCCATTTATTGTAGGTGGGAAAAAAAAGATGCATCTTATCTTTTTTTTTCATTGTTCAAACAAAGAAAACAGTTTTTTTGAACATGCCAACACTTGTGCCAGACAGACAATTCATGACTCAAAGTCTAGCTCTGGCTGGGCCACGAGAACACCTGAAATAGAGTGAAAAAAGGACCAAGAACCTTAGTTTGTCAGCTTACTGGGCACGGGGTGGGCACGCTTGGGGTCTCTCTCTAAGCAATACTCTCTTATCCTCAAAATCCACCCATTGTCAGGGCCCGGGTCAGGGTCTACCCTCATCACCCTGAAGCCTCCCTGCATTTCCAGGTGCAACCTGCAGCTTAGTTAGTAGAGAATTAATCTGCCTGGTCATCTGCAATTCTGCATTAATGTCAGGTCTCAACAACCCTGATGCTTTCGTAGAAGGAAGCATGTCTTCTCTTTCACACATGGTCCTGCCTCCCGCAGCACCTGGCTCAGCGTGGGCGTCAATGACTTGCAGGGATTATGACAAATCCATGTGCATTATTATTTGGCTCCATCTGGCATGTCTATGCAATCATCTGATACACTGCTGCATAAAACAGGTGGTAGAGTTTGCTCTCCAGCTTCTAGACAGTGTTCACATGTGTTTAACAAGCAAAGAAAGGGGATTTCAGTATTTCTAACAATTTCATGAACAGAATAAAAATAGGAAATGGGTCAATTTTGACATTTTGGCCCCCTTAGAAAAGCTATATAAAAATTCAGGACTGTATGAAACACCTTTCCTTGTCTGTGTCTGAAAAGGGTATGAGGCGGCGGCATTATTCTCATATATAAGAGGCGTATTTTCATAGAGGGTCATGGAAAAACTCTATCAAAACACCCACAAGTCAATACAATACAATTCTAGACCCAACTCTTTGAGAGCTGCAGTGGCTTACTCAACTTGGTGGCCACCAGCCCTCAGCACTGCAGGGAGTCAGGAATTACTGGTGGGTTGGCATAGACCACAGTTCTGAACAATCCTTTCAGAAGTGTAGGGCTAGTTGGTCGAGAGAACGACTGACCATTCCAGGGAGAACATCTATAATCACCAATTACTGTCTGATGCCTTTATTGAGGAATGTAGCTAGCTAAGAAGTTTTTCACAACTCCTTGTCTTCACAAAAACAGAAGCACAGGAGCAGCATGAAAAAACTTTGTATGCTCTGTCACCAAAAAACAACATGGTCATTTACCCAATATAACAAACCTTTTATTTGAGAACTATCTATCTTAACAAGCTGAACACTTCAATGCAAATGTGACCTTTATTAGAAGTGTTTCCACCATATTATATTTCAGGGACCTGTTGTTGACTTGGAAGCCATTTAAAATGACCGCCTCTACTGTGTACCCCTACAGGCCAGATGAGGCTCTTCATCCCATTGAGATTTCCCTTCAGGGACAGCTGAGACTTCCAGGGTAAATTGTATATAGGCATATTTTCAGTTACCACATCTCTATCTTAGGGGGAAAAAAAAGTTCAATTTCAGAGTGAGTGATAGTTAGGGCTGCGCAGGAAAAGCATTCGGTCTTGGTTCCTCTCTTGCACATATCTGCTAGGGTCTGCTGGGATGGAATGCCCACTGAGAGGAACACAGACAGACAGGTCAATTCACTAGGCTGGCCTTTCTCACATTGCTGCCAAGCCTGTGTCTGCAAAGCGCATCTTTCTATGGAGAAAAATTAGAGGCTTAGATCAGAACAGAAGGCTTATTCTCAGGACAGACCAGGAACACTATAAAAAATTTGGGCAAAAGTAGGTATTTTTATCCAAAGCCACTCAAAAACAACTTTTAAAAACACCCTCAAAACAATTCCTTAGGGCCGGACGTGGTGGCTCACGCCTGTAATCCCAGCACTTTGGGAGGCCAAGGTAGGTGAATCACGAGGTCAAGAGATCGAGACCATTCTGGTCAACATGGTGAAACGCCATCTCTACTAAAAATACAAAAAGGTAGCTGGGCGCGGTGGCAAGTGCCTGTAATCCCAGCTACTCAGGAGGCTGAGGCAGGAGAATTGCCTGAACCCAGGAGGCGGAGGTTGCGGTGAGCTGAGATCGTGCCATTGCACTCCAGCCTGGGTAACAAGAGTCAAACTCCATCTAAAAAAAAAAAAAAAAAAAACAATTCCTTAACAGGGACAGCACTGCTACACACTTGTGACATTAAAGAGAGTAGAACATGGCTGGGTGTGGTGGCTCACACCTGTAATCCTAGCACTTTGGGAAGCCAAGGCATGAGAATCACCTAAGGTTGGGAGTCTGAGACTAACCTGACCAACATGGAAAAACCCCGTCTCTACTAAAAATGCAAAAAATTAGCCAGGCGTGGTGGTGCATGCTTGTAATCCTAGCTACTCGGGAGGCTGAGGCAGCGGAATTGCTTGAACATGGGAGGTGGAGGTTGTGGTGAGCTGAGATCACGCCATTGCACTCCAGCCTGAGCAACAAGAGCAAAACTCCATCTCAGAAAAAAAAAAAAAAGAACATATGGTTGCTGTATGCCATGTGATTGACAAGAGAGCTGCACTCCACAGTTAGGTGTTCTTTGCGGCAGTGTGCCTGGGCGATGGGTGGGTTGGGGGGGTGACACTGGACCTGGCCAGCTCCAGTCTCCATGCTGCACTTCAGCACTTGCTCTGCTTGCTCTCCTGTGTGCACAGTCTCAACTGGTCTTTCTTCTGTATGTCCGCACCTGAGTGTATCCGTGTTGAAATGGAAGCTTCTAGAGGGGAGAACTGAGACCTTCATGCATCAAGTCTGTATATGCACCAAGGACTCACAAAGAATTATGATCTACTCCGGTTTGTTATGTTTATTTCTGTGTTACCTTCCTCCTTTACTGTCCCTCTGGACCTAGCTGGCTTTGCTCATTGAAGTTAAAGCTCTTAGACTCTCTTTGAGTAATGACAACTGCTGGCATTCAGGGCCACAGTACCCTGAATCCAAGTTCATCTCTGGGCCTGTCTCCTAAAAGAGTTCGGTGCAGAAACAGACTCTCAGAAAGCCCCGGGACTGTGTGACCTCAGCAAAGGACAATCTGTCTGCTCCATAATGAAAAGGACCCATTCTCCCGGGATACCTTTGATCGCAACTATAAACAGATCAGGGTGGGAAAGGTCCTCTGGTCATGGGAAGGCCCAGCCTGCTGTTGCCTTTGGTGAGTTAATGAACTACCATATTATATCTGTGATTCAGGAAGCTGCTTCATAAACAGGCTCTACCTGCAACTGTTCGAGGAGGTCAAGGTTCTGTTTGCGTAAGCTGCTGTTGCTTTTCTCTAATTTATCCATTCTTTGGTTGTCACTGAGAGGGGAGGAATCGATCAGTTCTTCTTGAAGCACATGGTACTCAACTTCGTAAGCTTGTAACTGTTTAGCAATGTCCATCTCAAATACCTGTTAATAGAAAGAAAAGTCATCAGGTACTAAAATGGAGAAAAACCCCACATGTATAGGCAGGTGCCTGCAATCACGTCAGTGCACACCTGCGAAGCGTCTCCTTTATGCTCCGCTCTACACTTGGTACTAAAAGTGGTAAGAAAAACTATGTGCTGAGAAGGTAATAATTTTACTTGGGACAAAAGGATATAAGAAACATCTTGAAATAATTTAAAGGTAACATTAAGTGCAGGTTTTTGATACTCATCTTCAAAAAGCCAAAAAAACCTCTCATTTAAAAAAACTTATAAAAACGTATTTTTAGTTATTTCACAACTTCTTTTTGCTGAAAATTCTGTGATGTTAGATACATCACTGTTGGTTAAAAGGAGAAAAGAAACAAAAGAATCATAGCCCTATTTGCACAGTCACCGAGTCAAAGTTTAATTATAGTTCAGTTGGGTTTTCAGAGTTACAAGAACAGCTAAGTAATCGGACTGTTTACTAAAAAACTCTCCTTTGCACACAGATATGCAGAAATGAGCCAAAACCCAAATGTCACCCACACTGATGAGTGAATACGGAACAAGGCCTGAGCTGTCTTCTTTCCCACAATAGTAATGGTGATGAAAACACCACACGTGTGAAAAACAAGCCCAAAGTGCACAGTGACTCAAGCTGTTCTTGTCTGTACTTTCTCTTGGTAAGGAAAGCAGGGCGGAAAGGGGAGTCAGAAGACAGCTGCTGCTGCCCAAGGCATTTCCTTTCTTTCCAGTTGTTCCTATAAGAGACTCCCAGGGGCTGGGGGCTCTCAGCACAGCAGTGAAGACCCAGCGCTTATCTGATGGATCTGAGAATGCAGTCAAGCTGGGACCATCTTAAAAAAAAAAAACAACCCTGCAAGATCAGAACACACATACAGAGCATGAAGCCAGACTTTAAAAGGGCAGAAACTGCCTCTCTACTGCATTTCCTTAGGCAACTCCAATGTTGACGTTAAGCAACTCCCTCTTCTGATGGCTCCCTATTAGCTTTCAAACTAGCCTAGCTTCCCTGGAATCAATTTTCAAAATCCAGGTTTACTTTCTCACCATTCCAAACAATCCTGTTTTGTCTTCCTTGAGATTAATTTTTCAGCTTGCTGTTTTTTATTTAATTCAGGGAATAATACTAATAAGGCACAAAAGTCAGTTGATGTCTAAAAACTAAAATCCATTCTATCTGTGGCGTGTGTGTGCATGTGTGTGAGGAGCATAGGCAGGAGAGAGAGAATTGTTTACTGGATTGAACTGATTCTCTTTTGTCCCTCAGAGCCACAGCGAGGTCAGTGGGGATTATTACCTCCATTTGACAACCGAGGTAACTGGCTCAGAGGCCTTGAGTCAGCCCTAAAATCAGGGCTTTACCGGTGACTCTATGAATGACTTGAGCTGGGTACTTAACCTCTCAGCCACAGTTCCTGGCCTCCCACCTGAGGCAGACAGCATCCACCTCCCAGGACGGCTGTGAGAATTAAAAAAGGCAACTCATGGATGTTCCCAGCACATGCCTGGCAGGTTGAGCAGGTGCTCTCTTAGCTAAGGGATCTGCTTCCACACACCTGTCACAAACCCCTCACATTTCAACCTCAGCCAAGCCGTCATCAATGGATGCCACATCATGGAACTTCTGAATAGTCTGAACCGTAAAAACCACAAACGTTAAAACTGAGATTGTTTGGCACTCGTGTATAATTATAAATATGGTGCTGAATGAATATCATGTACACAATTACCTTTTTTCTTCCACAAAGACTTATTTTTAAATGATCTCCTAACCTGGGAAGCCCAGGAACAAAACCCTTTGGTATGTTGTCTCAGATGAATAAAAAAGATGAAAACTAGGTGTTGATGGGAAAATAGAACACATACACTTTAAGGTGTTTTCATATCTTGTCTGAGTCGCTTCTGAGGCTGGACAGGTGCAGCACCCGCCTCCCCCAGGTCCTGCCTAAGCCTTTCCCTGAGCACCGGTCACTACACAAAGCTGCCAGGCACCCAGCCCCTCTGCAAGGGGGACTGGCTTTCCTACAGATGGATGTTCTGTGTTAAGTTAATGGCTCTCAGCTATGCCCAAAGCCATACACTCTTCCAGGCCTCCATTAATCCCCAGGAACCACCCTGCGTTGCAATCATCTTTGCTTAATTGCCTGAAGATCTCCTGACTGCCAAGACTGATGGCCCTTCATTCTGCAGTTATGCCCCCGAATTTATCCCAAACCATGGCAGTACGAGGCTGGTGGTCAAAGGAGAACCTTGGTCACTGAGCATCACTTTCAGTCCTTGGGCTAATTACTTGGGAAAAGAAAAGAAAATGGGAGGGGTGCCTGTCCCTGCACACTTGAGGGCACAAGTGATCCACTGCCAGAAGCAGTTCTCAGCCAGAGGAAGAGCAGGAAGGCCTCACATCAAAAACCTAATCCTTTGGTATGTTGTCTCAGATGAATAAAAAAGATGAAAACTAGGTGTTGACGGGAAAATAGAACACATACACTTTAAGGTGTTTTCATATCTTGTCTGAGTTGCTTCTGAGGCTGGACAGGTGCAGCACCCGCCTCCCCCAGGTCCTGCCTAAGCCTTTCCCTGAGCACCGGTCACTACACAAAGCTGCCAGGCACCCGGCCCCTCTGCAAGGGGGACTGGCTTTCATCTTCTTTCTTCCTGGTCCATCTCAGAGCAATTCCACTAGAGTGGTAATTACTGGGGAGCCAGAGCCTTCCCATCATACTGGCTCTCAGGTTCTTCAAGGTTTTCAGGCAAGTTCCAGAATTTTGGTACTGCTGAAAATTTCTTTTCTGCTTGCCAAAGTAGGAATAACCTATTATCACATTTTTGATGGTTTGCCGAAAAGATAAAACTATTTTGAGTTACCGAAGCACTAGAGCTACATTATAGGAAGCTTGAAAAATAAAAAAAAATTACCAAGTACAACGTTTACATCTAGTTATATTTCCTTTCATCTTTCCTAAAAGCATGTCTTTCTAGTTATAAACATAACAAACATAAAATTTCCTATCCCACTTTTCCTTTAAACATTGTATCAAATAAGAGCTTTTTCATGTTGCCATATAAAACTGGCTTTGTGGGTATTCTACCAACTTAACATACCATACCCATATCAATCCAGTCATCAAGTGTTAGACATCTAGTTACTTCCAAGTTTCTGTTATTATAAATGACAAGTCTAGGAGAGTATCTTATACATATGGCTTCCCTCATATTTTGGATAATTTCCTGAGGATACATTCCAAGAAATGCGATGACTGAGTCAAAGGGTATGAATATTTTACTGGCTTGGGATATGTAGCGCCAAATTCCCTCCCAAGAGCGAATAATCAATGTGCACTGCCACATGCTAATGTTCTGGACACAGTTTACCCTCGGGGCCGGGTACTGGCATTAAGAAATATCTTTCTGTTGATCTAGTAGGGTCAAGCATTATATGTTACAAGAGTTTAAATTACGCACAAAGCCAGATATCTTCCCAGAGACTTGTTTACTGGATGTCTCCTCTTCGGTGAATTGTCTGTGTATGTTCTTGGCTTATTTGCTATTGCAGACTCAGCATTTTTCTTCACAGTCACTGATTAATAAAGTCATGAACCCCGAATGGTTTGCAGAACTTGCCACAGAGCTTCCGCCTTCCTAACCCCTGGCCTCCAACCTGCTGGTCCCACTGTCATACCAAAGGCTGGAGAGTGGGAGCAGTCAGTCCGGTATCAAGGGGGCGCGCTGTCTGTAGTGAATTACAAAAATAATATTAAAACCCACTAAAAGTCCGTCTGCTTGTTATTACCACCACATGTGAGCGATTTTCAAGAATGCCAGTGGTAAACCACTTCTCCCCGCCATGCCACGCCCCACCCTCCTCAGATGGCACTAGCTTGTCCCTTTACAAAATGACTCATTTTCCATGGTGCAAACTGCCTAAGAAGTGACGGTTCCCCAACAGGCAGAAGATTTTGAGGTGTGTCTTCTGAACACAGGAAACCTGGTTTCTAACCTGCAGGCTCAACGGGAACAGGGATTCCTCTGTTCAAGGTGTTGCTCTCAGAGTTGCCCACAGCAGGGTTTCTCAGCTGTTTGTGTGCATGTGAATCTCCTGGGGATCTCGGTGAAATGCAGATTCTGATTCAGCAGTTCTGGGGTGGGGCTCCAGATGCTGTGTTTCTAACAAGCTCTGACATGATATGACAATGCTGGGCTGAGGCCGTGCTCTGAGTGGAGCCTAAAGGATGCTGAAAATAGGCTATTTTACCCTGCCTCCCAAAACCACCCTTCCTCTTCTTCCTTAAACTGAGCTGAGGCTTCACAGCCACACAGCACCCACTGTGACAAGAATACACCACCAACCTCCCTTTCCTTTGTTTCTAATTATTTCAAGTTACCCTTCTTCTTGGGTCAGAATACGTTTATGGTTTATTCAATGGACAGTTCCTTCAGTAAGTACACTGCCACAAAGGCTTCAGACGCCCTTGGTCTTCTGCCCTGGGCTCTGTCACCTTTAGAATTGCCCTCCCTGGCTGTTTCCAGCCTATCCACATTGAGCCAGAGTCCTGGCTCTGGACAGAGCTCCAGAGTCCTGTCCTTAGCCACCTTCTCTTCCATTTAGGATCCAGGCTGTGTCCCAGTTGCTCAGGCTGAGACTATCTATATAGGAAGGGCATTTAATGAAATGGAGCCACGGCTATCACAGAGGACCACCCAGATGCCCTCACCTCCTGCCCCAGCCCATCTGTACACAGGGTAGGATGCTCCATCATTTGCAATGGAAGCATCCCTTCTACTCTGAAGACCCCCAAGATTTGGGCCTGGGGATCCCTATGGCTGCAGAGGAATCATGCTGCACACCGAGTCTACTTTCTGTGTAGAATTTAAGACTACGGCACCCTCTGGAGGGGAGGGGGCGGTGGGAAAGCAGAAAGCCTGACAGAGAACACTCATATGTCAAGTTCAGATAGAAATACTGGAGAGAAAGAGGGCAGAGAGTTGCCTGGGGACAGATCTACTTTCTATAAGGACCATCGACAAAATAAAAGCCTGGGCCCCAAATAAAAATTTTTGTGCTCCCAATAACCCCCAAATGCTGAACACATCAGGTTCTGAGAATTGCTCTCTGTGCTCTCATTCCTGTCCCTTCTCACAGGCTGTGATCTTGTAGTTCAGGGATCAGCAAACCACCACCTGTGGACCAAACCCATCATGCTGTATATATTTTAAAATCAAGTTTTATTGCAACATGACCCACCATCCCCTTACATGCTGTTGTGGATTTTCTGTGCTGCAAAGGCCAAGGTTAGAAGCTGTTACCTTATGGCCTGTGAAGCCTAAAATATATCCTATCTGGCCTTCTTCAGAAAATGTCTGCCAGCCTATCTTAGGTCATCTTTTAGGTCCAGCTGGACTCAAAGACCTCAGCTCTAAACTCATAGCCCTGGATTCCACAGGCCCTGCCTTTTCTACAAGTGGCTGGGCATATTACTGTCTGCTCAGCTTCATCTATAAAAATAGGGATTATAATACCCTTGTCTCAGAGTTATTAAGAAGTCAGTGGAGGCCGGGCACGGTGGTTCATGCCTGTAATCCCAGTACTATGGGAGGCCAAGGTGAGCAGATCACAAGACCAGCCTGGCCAACATGATGAAATCCTGTCTCCACTGAAAATACAAAAATTGGCTGACCGTGGTGGTGCACACCTGTAATCCCAGCTACTTGGGAAGCTGAGGCACGAGAATGCTTGAGCCCAGGCGACAGAGGTTGCAGTGAGCTGAGATCACATCCTGTACTCCAATCTGGGCAGCAGAGCTGGACTCAGTCTCAAAAATTAAAAAAAAAAAAAAGTCAGTGGAACAACGAATGGCAACTTCCAAATAGCCAAATAGTGGCCTGAAATAATCCAGGTACACACACAGCTGTTCTCTTCTCATGCTGTGTCCATTTCCACTCTTCCAGCACTGAAAGAACATCTGATGTATCCTAAGTATACTCAGTAAGTTTTATTTTTTGTTTTTTTTTTTATACAGAAAATAGGAGAAAATGGGATTTTTTTCTGGTACTCAATATTCAGGAGGTAAACAATATCAGCTGGGATGGCCTGGGGCTGGAAGCAAGGTGACATGCTGGGCACTGGAAACAGCTCTCAGTCTAGGCAACCAAGGCTCTCGGGGTCTGCACTAGTAGCTATAAAACTAAGTACATGCAATGAAAGCTATAAGAAGGGAATGTATGAAAGAATGAATGAAAATGCCAGAAATCCAAGAATGGGAAGTCAGCCTAATACTGACTTCACTCTTTTGATGTGAAACTCCAAATTAAATGACCTCCAGAGGCGCTCGGCAGTGTAGGAGACCTGTGAAAGCATTCTGAGGTGAGAGAGACTTGAGTTTGAATCCTTTCCTTTCTACTTTGCAGCAGAGAGAGCATGGGTCAGTTAGTGAATCATTTTATAGTCTCTCAAAAGTGCAGCCATGATGGAATGGGATCATGTGTATATCTAGATGACCACCCAAACTGGCAAAGAGCAAGGCCCCAACAAGCCAAAGCTATCCACATCAAGAAGAATGTGCCAGGGAAGGAAAGGAGATGGAGAGGCCATCACTTAAAGATGCATGCACAATGGAAAAAACTGCTCTTTCATAAGGGCATATGCAATGTGCAAAAGGAAATCCAAAGTTAACAACTGGTATGAAACCTTCTCTTTTTTTGCAGGCCAGACCTGCATCTTTTTCTGTGCCGAACACTGAAGGAGCGGCAGCAAATGAAAATCACAAACACTGCATTTGGATGCAATCCACTGGAATCATGGATTCTGTTAGGACTATCAGAAATCTCCAGAGTAGGGATTTTTCAAAAATAGCTTTATTTTACCATTTGTTTTTGCCCAATTGCTCTATGTTTTCATTATACAGTTGTGTGTTGCATTACAACATTTTGGTCAATGGCGGACTGCATATATAATGGTAGTCCCACGAGATTATACTACCATGTTTTCATTGTACCTTTTCTATGTTTAGTTATGTTTAGATACACAAATAGTTCCTCTTGTGTTACAATTACTGACAGTGTTCAGTACAGTCACATGTACAGATTTGTAGGGCCTAGGAACAACTTGCCTGGGTGTGTAGTAGGCTATACCACTTGGGTTTAAGTATACTTTATGATGTTTGCACAATGAAGAAATCACCTAATGATGCATTTTTCAGAACTTACGCTATTGTTAAGCGGCACACAACCATCTGGAGCGGGTTCTAGGCATACAAGAGGCCTGACTGCTGATTCTGCAGTGACTCAATTATGATGAAATCCCTCCCAGTGCTTTCGTAGCTACCCGGCCTCTGGACACTTCCAATGGTGCCCCTTTCTCTGCTAAGCAGTGTAGTTCTCCATTGTCAGCAACCATTACTGGAGGGTTCTTCCTTATACCATACAGGATGAAAATCTGCTCCCATGACCAGCCCAGGGCATTTTCACCATCTAGTCTAGCTGTAATTCCTAGTAAAACTCACCTTCCAGTCTTTTAACATGTCAGAGGGTAATGGTTCTACTGTATACTGAAACCAGAGGTACTGAAGCCACAGATATTGAACTGAATTCAGAAAAAAAAAAAATCACAAAACAAATTCATCGACTATATGTTCCCTATCATAACTTTGTTATCAAATAATTATTTTGAGAAAATTCCAATTAATACCATTCAACACACAACAAAAAAATCAAAGCACTCAATGTATAAAACCCGACGTTGCATAAGTATATTTATTTCAGAAGAACAAGCTACTAGAGCTGAAGTCTCTTAAATGAGAGAAACCACAGATAACTTGTGCTAGTTTTTAGACCTAACCATTACCACCATGTTTCCTAGGTGGCATTTTGCCATGACACTCACAAAACACACACTCACAAGACACACACTCACGATCATTCCACACATATACCTCCTCCATGCCAGGCATCGTGCAGAATGCTGTTCAGAATACAAAGTGGAAACAGTTCCTGCTCAAGAGAGATTTATGTTTCTACATGTCAAGGATGGCTTCAGCATTTGCAAGGTTTGGACTGACTCATACCTGATTGATGGTCTTTTCCATCTGTACCAAGCCCAGGTTGGGTAGCGTGTTTTTTATAAAGTCAACTATGGTTTCTAGGTTTTCATGCTGCAGAATCAAGGGCTTATGGCTTCCCAACAGACTTAAAGCCACTTTAAATATGACCTCTGTTCCCTGAAGAAAAATCATATCTGAGAAAACAGAAAAATGCAGAAAGTTAAACCAGACCAGTTTCTCACGCAATACCATTCCACTGCCTCTTCCACACATCACAGAGGAGGAGGGTGGGAGACATAACCCCAAACTGCAAACTTTATTTCATTTTTGGAGCCTGATAGCTCAGATAGTGTTGTCAAGACAGTATTGCAAATAAAAGTACATAAACATTAAAAATAATGTTTTACTCTGAAAATAAAATTCAAATATGCTTCAAAAGTTAAACTGGGAAAAGGAGAAAGTTTTTATTAGTCTATTTTTCTGGGAATGCTCCTGGGTTTTAAAGGAGATACTAAAACGTTTTTATGGGACAAGCTAAAAGATTTTTATAGATAAGGCATCAGAAATTAAGATAGAGTAAGTGAAAAAGTGTCTCTGTTTCCTGTATTTGGAAATAAGAAATAGAATTCAAAGATCTTTAAAAACTGTAAAACAGCTATACCAATGCAAAAGTACATTATTAAATATGTTTACTGATTTTTAACATGATAATGGAATAAAGTACATTTTTCCCTCTGAAGAGTGCAAAGAACTTTGTCAAAGTTACTCTCTAGTTCTGGCCACATTTTGTTGTTAGAGTGGCTGGTGAATGGATGCAATTCTTATACAGACTGCAGAGTCAGAGGGAGGGCACTGGCCAGGACAGCCAGCTGAGCAGCAAGCCCAGCCCTGTCTCCTCTTCCTTGTAGAGTTGAAGCTGCTGGGGAAAAAAAGAGTCAAATGTCCTGGGGTTAAAGCAGAGCCACAATAACTATTGGGTGACTCAATTGAGGTAGGTTACCTAATAACTAGAATAATAATATTAGAAAAAACAATTTTAAAAATCAGAGTAGAAATATCATTAGAGGCAAGTATCAGTATTTCTTTTCACTCTTTTGGCTGAAAGATAACGGAAGAAGTTGTAAATTTCATCAAATCAAGGAAAGCAAAAGCAGGTGAGAGGGAGACTCTTCCACAGGAAGCCTCTCTCTAGATGGTTAATATGATAACATTTAAAAGCCGAGAGAAACAGAAAAGCAAAGGCTGGAGGCTGCTGTGCAAATGGGAAACTGAATCCCTGTAGTTTCTGAACAAAGCAGTGAGAAATGACAGTGAGGGGACTGCTGGCTGGGACAGACCTCAACATCCTCTTTGACCACCACAAAACCCTTAATTAACCATGTGAGCTGAGCTGGGTGCAGCCCTAAGCCATCCCAGCAATGAGATCAGCCTGCTTCTCCCACCCAGCTCAGGGCCCACACTCTTTCCACAAACATCACAACTGCTGATGGCTCAGTGTGGCCCCAGGAAAGTAGGAAAGATTAATCCTTCACTTCCTTCTCAGGTCTGGTTTTTGAGGCTGGGAGAATATACTAGAGAACTAACTGTGTCTTTGAAATATGAGCTTTTTAGGGGAAGTGTTACATATACTAAGGCAGGCCAATTGAATAATGTTGCTCTGAAATACCTGGTTTATAAAATATACAGTCTGCCCCTATAAATTCCCCACTACAGAAAAGACAAAAGATCTAAAATAATACTATAACAAAGATGTATTTTTAAACTGAAATGACATATCCAAAAACAAAACTCTAAATTTGAAGTTTCAGTGGTTTAGATGGTAAGACTTCCTAGACACATTTCAATATATGAACATTTATAGTTGAACAAAAATTGAGGACATCTTATAGAATAAAATATAAGACCTTTTTTTGCAGGGATCCTGGGGAAAGGCTTTCCCTACCACACCCATGATTTTCTCTAGCTTCTTCTCTTTACTCTCTGAGGGACAAGTGCCTTAAGTTAGGTACAGTACCACATCTAAGCTAATGAAAATAAATAATTATTGGGAAACTTTTGTGAGCACAACCAAATAGACAAGCCACATCAATAGTCTCTTTAGGTTAACAGCAGATCTTCTGAGTTTTATTAGGATCTTGGTTTTTACAATAAATCAACTTAGTAAGTGCTTCCTATGATTCCAAACTGAGATTTTCCTGGAAAGAAAAGGAAATTTGGAGGGGAGGGGGTGTGTATGTGTTTTAAAGTCTCTTTATTGATATGTTAAAAAATTAAGACACAGCCCCGGGCATGTTTATTTTATTGGATCTGCTTGTATTTAATGCAGTTAAAAAACAAACTTTCTTTCCTACTGCTATTCACAACATCTTAAGAGAATTCTGCTGAGAAGTGTCCTCTGCTTTAACTTAATGAGCATCCACTGAGCATCTAATACACGCCAGGCACCGTATTAGGCACTGGAGATTAAGCCATGAGCAAAGGACAACAAACACGCTGCAGAGACACCAAGGAGTTCTGGCTTGGTAGAGTCATGCCCAGGGTTACGAGAACAAAGAGGAGAGAAAAAGCCTACAAGAAGGTGACTGCATGAAGAACCAATGAAAACTTTCTAGGTCAGAACTCAGGAATTAATACTCTGAATAAAAGGAAAAGACTGATGTTTGTAATCCCAGCACTTTGGGAGGCCGAGGTGGGTGGATCATGAGGTCAAGAGATCAAGACCATCCTGGCCAACATGGTGAAACCCCATGTCTACTAAAAATACAAAAATTAGGTGAGTGCAGTGGCATGTGCCTGTAGTCCCAGCTACTTGGGAAGCTGAGGCAGGAGAATTGCTTGAACCCAGGAGGCAGAGGTTGCAGTGAGCTGAGATCGCACCACTGCACTCCAGCCTGGTGACAGAGCACTGTCTCAAAAAGAAGAAAAAAAAAAGGAGAAGAGGGTGTCAATAGACAGAAGTGTGCAGGAGCCTGAAAAACAGTCTGGCTGGCAAGGCAGGGGCTCTGGTTGTGCAGGGCAGAAGGGGGGCAAACAGACAGGCAAGTCCAGATCAGCGGGGCCTCTGCCCACACCAAGCAATTCTAACTTCCCCCAGAGCACCACAGGAATCGCTGAAGGCTTTTTGTTCCTTTTCTCAGTATGTCAGTGGGTTGGTAAGGAGGTGACGTTAATGAGATGCAGGTTATGGGTATGATCCCTGTAAGGGCTAGTTAGCGTCAGATAGAGAAAAACCACCTTTGGAGACCACGCTGACTGATTCATGCCAGGGACTCCCAAATACCTGCTGCCAGAGATTCTCCATTCACCACCACTCCTCCCATTCAAAGCGCCCATCCCTCCAAGGCCTGAGAAACCTCAGCCCCAGAAGCTTCTGTGAGACAGGGGAGGTCTTAAATCGGGAGATGATTTGGGTGCACGATGCAGGAATGTGCTTGAACAGTTGAAGGAAGGACCGCGGGAAGCTCTGCTTGGGAGAAAGGGCCTCCTAAAGTTTCTGATGACACTTGGGGGCAACACTGACATCCTTTAGAGAATGTGTACTTTTTTCTGGCTTTGGAAATTTAAAAAATTACATCTAATTTTAAAATAATAGTGAGGGAAAATGTTTCCTATAAACCCACTGCCCCAAACCAATTATTTGGAAGAATGTCTTCCAATATTCTTATACATTTACATCTGGAATTTTTTTTTTTTTTAAGCAGTAACTCCTCTTGGAAAAGCGACCCAATGTCCTGCATTTGAAAACTGCCCTAGGAAAAAGTGAACAGCCAGAGGCACCCTGTGCAGTGCAGCAGAGTAGCCTAGCTCACAACACTGTAGTCCAAGTCCTTTTGGTGGGACTTTCCTCCTGCCTCTTCCTTCTCTCCTCTCCTTTTAGCTACCTAGAAACAGGCAAGAGGCTTCATTGGGCAGGAAATAGAGAGGAATCTTGAATTCAGCTGACTCTACTACTCGGCACTGTATTCGCAGAGAACAACATCAAGGAACTTCTTTTCCTTGAGGCCATTTCAGCAGTCCTCTTATTGTGTTACTGTGTATTGAAACTCGATTTGAAAATAAACTCCTCATGATCTCAAAGTGCGATCTTCCTCTGTGAGCTTAGGCTGCATCTCTTTCCCAGCCACCTTTGTCTTTGTCAAGGCTGAGGCTTCTCAACTTTCTCCTGGAAGGCTGCGGCCCTCCGGTTGTGGCTCCCCCACGTTCTAGGAGTAACATAAGTGGGAGGATGAAGGCTGATGACAGTGCTGTGCAGAACAACAGCACAGACACACCGAACACACACTCATCATCACCGTGCATCATGTTACCTGAGTAGCTGGACATTTTCCTGGCCACAGAAACAATTGTGTTTTCATCCTAAAGCCTCTCTGAAGCCTTTGCTATACTGTAGGTGGCTTCTGTGTTTTTTTTTTGTCAAACCCTTAGTTTTTGTTTGTTTGTTTGGTTTTGGGATTTTTTGAGACAAAGTCTCGCACTGTCACCCAGGCTGGAATGCAGTGGTGTGATCTTGGCTCACTGCAACCACCACCTCCCAGGTTCAAGCAGTTCTCCTGCCTCAGCCTCCTGAGTAGCTGGGACTACAGGTGTGTGCCACCATGCCTGGCCAATTTTTGTATTTTTAGTAGAGACAGGGTTTCACCATGTTGGTCAGGCTGGTCTTTAATTCCTGACCTTGTGATCCACCTGCCTTGTCCTCCCAAAGTGCTGGGATTACAGGCGTGAGCCATCACACGTGGCCGAAACTCTTTGTTTTTATACTCCACGTCCTCCCTCATCTATTTGGCAGCACATCCTATAGAAAAACATCAGGGGCCGAACACTGCAGCCTCCTCCTCCATCAGGAGCAAGCCAGGTCCTGTCTTTTAAGATTTTTCCCCCCAAAGGCAGATGTGATGAGAAAGTGAACAGAGCAAGCGTCTCTCCCAGGGCCCTGCTGCACTCCAACTAGAAAAATACAGGAAGGGGCTCCTGACATTACATGACACCAGGAAGAAGGACTGCCATTCAGCAAGGGGTGATGACAGTGTGAAGGTTCAGGCGCACACATCCCTGGCAGCTGCCCCTCCAAGTGACAGATACATACTTGATGCCAGGTAACTTACCTCACATATGAGCTATGCTGGTACAAACTGAAATATGTAAAAAAAAAAAAAAAAAATATATATATATATATATATATATATATATATATAAAATATATATGATATAACTATAATTTATAAATATATATTTTTATGTTTATATTTATATTAGTGAACCGTCAACAAAGGTCTATGTGTTTTTAGAGTTTATTTAGACTTAAAGGCTTATAATGAAATGGGCCTTGGGCCAAAAAAAGACTGTAGTGCCTGAATGGCAGGCTTTGAAATAAAAAGCTAAGCTATCTGCATCATGGAACAAAACATACACCATTCTCTAAGTCACCAATGCTAAAAATAGACATGGTTTGTAAAAACCTATCTTTTCTGTTTGTAAGTCTTGAAAGATGAGATGGACTGTGCAAAGAAAAAGAAAAAAAAAGTAAAAGCAGTTTTTGCAAAGTGACATCACAACCCAGTGCAGCCTTGAGATCCCACTTCCTGCCTCTAATCCCAGGAGCCCTTGGCCAGCTGGACAACCCACTTAGTACAGCAGGAGTCTGTGGGATCCAGGAATTATGTAGACACTGGAATCTTTATCCATAATGTTTATGAGACTCCTAGTCTCACCACTGCCTACAAAATCTACAGAAAAATATCCTACCTCTACAGGCTGTGGCTTTATTTATGAAGTCATTAGAGTGAGCTTCAGAGAGCTTCGAATTACTCTGCAACAGAGGGCTGTCATTTCCAAAGTGGAGTTTGCTTGTTTTTTAATGTCTTTTTGCTCATTTATGAATCGAAGGAAACATTTCTCTTCCAGAGCCCCAGAACTTTCTGCAAGCAGCAGCTCCAGTGCCTGCGGCCCCAGGGCAGGGATGACTCAGTGATGACCCCTCAGCACCCTCGTCTGTGGTCAGCCCTGTTGCCTTGGGAGAATTTTCTTCACAAACCAAGTAATTTAATGCTTGAGCTGTTTATAAACCATTAACACACAGCACTTCCTCCTCCCCATTTCCATCCTCACTTCTCTTCATGACCCTGTATGAAAATCATAGCTAAAATCTGGAGAAAATGTAAGGAAGGTGGACTAATCATTTTCTTTTAATTTCCAGGGTTAGAAAAGTCAAAAACAGAGAACTTATTGGCAGGAGAGCTTAAAGCCTGGAGCTTGAGATTTTAGTTTATGTAACTCTTTTGTTAGTAAACTAAGCACACCATTTTGAGACTTAGAGTTATCTTTTTTTTTTTTTTTAAACTATGGTATAAACCTTCATGAAATCTCACTAAAGATGTTTGACCAGGAGATAGCTTTTTGTACCTATTTTAATTTAGTGGTTTTATATTTTTAGGGACAGAAAATAAGGAACATGAATTCTTCCAGTAAGAAGCAAAATGGGAAATAATAAAAATCTAGTATTTGGGGGAAAGGAAAAGAGAGAAGAAGAGTAAATGCTCAATTATATTAAAAAGCAAATTTTAGGGTTTCTAGAATTTGGATATTTAAGATGTTTACCCAGAGCATTCTTGAAGTAGTACATTCAGTGTCTTTAAATATTTCCCTTAAGATGCTCTCTAACCCTAAAAACAAATTTTTTAAAGATCACATGTTTTTAAGCTGTCAAGTGATGCTTAAAAACATGCTTGATCTGTAATAACTATCATTTTTTTTAGTAACCTCCTCCTTTACAATAAAAAAAAGAACCTGAGTTGTCAAAAATATCACTTTTATTCTGAAGTAGGGAAAACAAATTGTGCGTGAACTGACCGTGCTGACCACTTTCCACTTGGTTCCCAATGTGCACGTGGACGGCCCTATCCCTGTATCCCAAGGCAGGTTGAAGGCTTTGTGTACGAACACCCACCTAACTTTCACAACGTTCTCAAAACGTCAATCGGGAATATCAAGGCAGGTCTTACACATGAACCACCCAAGGTAAACAGCAGTAGCACAGGAGTAGCAGCAGCTGAGACACGGCACGAGGGCAGGAGGCCTTCAAGGGTATCAAGGCTGAGGGGAGAGGGTGCACCATTCACAAAGAGTGTCACTTGAGGTCCTGACACTGGTCTCCAAGAGAGTGACTTGGGAGAAAATGTAGAGCCAAGGGCAGGAGGAGGTGCCAAGGGAATCTAGAAAGGGCAGTAGCCCAGAGGCCCACGGTCAGCATTGGTCAGCACTCACAACCCAGAGCGGCTGAGGAAGGCGATTCATCAGAAACACACACCTGCGGCTCCAAATATCTGCTCTAGGGAGGGCATCCTGGTGAGGGAGTCAGTTCTACATCCCACAAGATGAAGGATCGAGGGAAGCCCCGCGATTATCAGAACTCCAGTCACAAAACCCACCCCTGACTAATCTTACACTATCTGTTCTGCTAAGAGCTGTGGGTATAAAAATAAGAATCACAATGGAGAGACAGGAAACGCTTCTCCTCTAACAAGAGAAGGCTGGTTCTTTACTAATGCTCACCAAAGACTCTGGCTACGAATCCCAGTGGGAACTGTGAGGCAAACACGGTGAGGAACCAGGGTGCGGCATAGAGGCTGGGGCCGATCTCGTGCTCCTCCAGGTGATTGTAGAGGTCTCTGTGGTAATCGTGAAGCAGCCTCGAGAGCTGGTACATCTGGATCTGTGGGAAGACGGCCACAGGGGCTGAGAATTAGGGATCTGCCACAGCGAGAAAGTTATGCCTACTGCTTAGAGGGTGGGCATAAGAGAAGACTCACTAGAACTTTAAACATTCTATCTGGCTTGTGATCCATTGACCTCAGCTACCAATTCCTCCAACAAGTACTTCCCGAGTGCCCGCTGCTGCCAGGCACTGGCTGGGTGTAGGCCCAGGACGCTAACGCTGGGACTTCTACCACGTCCTTTTCATTGTTCCCTGGTATGCCTTGGTTAAGAAGATCGAAACATCTGTCTTGTGCAAACATTTCATAAATTCTCTTACAAATACAAAAACTCAAGCCTGGAGGAATTAGGAATAAGAAGCCAGTCTCTCTATTAAGACTGAATTAGGGACATCTTATGATTCCATAGAAGTGCACTATACTTGTTTACTTAGGAAATTCCCTCTGGATCCCTGAAATTACTTGTCAATAGGTTTGTCAATAGGCAGGATAAGCATAATTTCTTTTGGTGTATAACATATGGAATATCCAGATCCCTCGCAAGTTGAAACAAGAAGACAAGTGTACATCTTATGAAAAAAAAAAAACAACTTTCTCCAACTAAAGTGGAACTCAAACTTCAGAGAATGGCATGGAAGCTCAAACCAGTTCCTAGTAGTGCCACCAAGCATTCCAGGCCTCAAAGAGGCCTGAGAGCCAGCCCAGATCTGAGCAGTCTTATGGCCTGAGCCTCAAGAAGAAATAGTGACCTACAGAGGGTCAGAATCCTGCTGAGATGCACCAAGTTGGATATGTGCTGTCCAAACTAAGAGAAAGAAAACAACCATTTTCAGAGGCAAAGACAATATAATCCCATAAGCACCAGCTCTGGCTCTCCAGTATGGAAGACAGTCTAATCAACCAAAGCCACCGGCCCCAAAAGAGTTGGGTGTTACATAAATTACAGAAAACTTGAACATTCCACTGCCTGGTGGCAGTTGTCCTTAAAGTTAATACCAGGAATGTAGGAAGACCCTCAGAGTACATGGGGAAAGTGTTATGTGGTCAAAATCTTTCAGTGCATGAGCTGACTTCCTTCTGTGATATTTGTGTTCATGTGGTCCGTGTGCACAGGTCAAGAGGAAAGATTTTGAATCACATAATGCGGTGCTCTCAAAGTCAGTTCTTGGCTCTAATGTACCCCCTCCTCCCTCCCAGGATACTTTCTAAGGCTCTGAAGGCCTAGTATCTTACTGGTAAATGAACATATCAACACGTACTGCAGCATTTGAAACAATTAGGAATATTCCTGAAGCAGCATCCAGAGTCTTCCCTCTGAAAGGCAGCAAGGGCAGCACGTGGTATCGGAATATGCTGCTGTGTTTGGTTTTCTCTGACAGAATTGTTCATTCAACAAATACTTACGGGGTGCCTACTTCAACCCAGGCACTGTTTCGAAAACTAGTGACTTGGCACCAAGACCAGTAAGATCCTCTCCCTCTCCTGAAGTTCACAAGCTATGAAAACTCAGAAAATAAACAGGTAAATGATTGTGGGAACAAAGAAAATCATTTCTGGCAGTGGCTGTGTTGTACAAAAGAAATGAGCCAGGATGGGGGTCTGTGACGGATCCCAGATGGCTGGGCGAAAACCTGCTCTAAAAACCACCGACTGGATAGCTTTTGGGGAGATCATACCCCAGAACCAAAAGGCATTGCTAATTCCTTCAAATCCTGGCTGCTTTACCTGAGAATCTACCACCTATCGACTGGGCTTACTACAAGGCCAGTGTGGCCAAGGCCGGCTTGGTGGATGACTTTGGAAGGAAGCTGAATGCCCTGAAGTTTCCTGTACCAGAGGATCAATATAGTGCCCAGGTGGATGCTGCAGAAAAAGATGTGAATTCTTGTGCTGAGTGGGTGTCTCTCTCAAAGGCCCGGATTGCAGAATACGAGAAACAGATGGAGAAGATGAAGAAGTGAATTCCATTTGAACAGATGACCATTGAGGACCTGAACGAAGCTTTCCCAGAAACCAAATTGGACAAGCAAACTATCCCTATTGTCCTCACCAACTAATGGAGAATTTATAAAACTGAGTCCAGGAGGCAGCTCTGGCCCTTATATTACACATTCTAGACATTAAAAATAAAAATTATACAGTTAAAAAAAATGAGCCAGGATAACGTGATGCAGTGTGCCCTGGCTGGAAGCAGGGATCACAGCATCAGGGTGGGCAGGATGAGCCTCTCCCAGGATGTGATATTTGAGCTGAACCTGAGATGATGAGGGTGGGGGTGAGGCAGAGGAAGAGCAGATGCAGAGGCTGGGAGGTAGGAGTGACATCATCTGATAGTTGATAGGGGCAAAAGGAAAGGCCCTAGAGTCAGAGGGGCCTGGGTTTCCATTCCAGCTCTGACACTGGCTAGCTGTGGGACTGGGCCCAATTAGTAATCTTTGGAGCCTCAGTTTTCCCATCTACAAATTGAGCTGATAAACAGTGTCTTCCTATTATGTGATTACAGAGGGAAGTGCAGATGACACGCTTGGAATAATACCTAGCACAGAGTCCTTTATCAGCATTACAACATTACACTGTTACCTGATGCTGAAAGAGCTCTGCAGCATACCTGGAGAGGGGTAAGAAATATCCTTAGCATTTTGTTGTATTAAAGACATAAGGAATGCTCTATACCTGTAAAATAATCATGTCTGGCCGATACTGCTTCCGCAGCCCCATGTCAAACATCAGAAACTTGAGCATTTTAAACGCCTCTTCTTCACTCATATGAAGAAGCAAAATGCCTGCGACAAAGCTGAGACCTTGGCAATATCCTACTTCCTGGTCTAGAAGTGAGTAGGCCTTCAAAATGTTGTAAAGCGACAGCTGTCCTGCTCCAAGCTGGGCAGAGAAGTACGGGTGTGTAGGAAAGGTTCGCCCTGTGAAAAGAATACATATTAGTCATAATAATAAAAACCCAAAAAGAAAGCCTATTGAACAAAAATCCAATGTGCTTCAGATTAAGCAGCAAAATCTTTAGAAACTGGATCATAATATCAATCAGTGTTTGCCACCTCCTCTGCAGACAGTCAACCAGTTGTTCCTGGAATAACATTTTCAATTAAAAATCAGCGATGACTCATGGTTTATTTACGTATTTATTTTTTGGTGGAGGTACAGGTGAAATTAGAACTACCTTCAGTCTTGGAAATAACTGAACTTCAAACTAAAAAAAAAAAAGAACTGTTGGCTGGGCACTACTCACCGTGGCTCATGTCTGTAATCCTAGCACTTTGGGAGGCCGGGGTGAGCGGATCACCTGAGGTCAGGAGTTCGAGACCATCCTGCCCAACATGGTGAAACCCCATCACTACTAAAGATACAATAAATTAGCTGGGAATGGTGGCAGACACCTGTAATCCCAGCTACTCAGGAGGCTGAGTTAGGAGAATCACTTGAACCCGGGAGGTGGAGGTTGCAGTGAGCTGAGATTGCACCACTGCACTCCAGCCTGGGCAACAAAAAGCAAAACTCCATCTCAAGAAAACTGTTAATCCTCTGGATAAAACCTCTTTGCTCAAGAGGAAAACACACAGCTCTTCTTCTCCACCCCGCACCCGGCACCCACCCTGATCCCAGCAGCATCTAAATGCAACTAAAAGGCCTCGCCTTGCTACAAACACTCCGTGGATCTGTTTTTCCCAGACTCACATATTATGCCTGCAAATGCTGCACACCACACGCAGATCTCTGCACTTTCAGACCATAGGCAGTGTTTTGCAACAGCCTGAGGAGCAGCAGGTGTTTTCTTTTACACAAAAGTTACCTTCCAAAAAGAGTTAAAAAAAAAAGCTCTCAACATCCTGATTATTTTCACAAAAAGCTGGTATTCAAATATGGCTTAAAAGACTTCTTTTGTCCAGGAGGCTTTTGTGGCTGATACTTGTCAAGTTCCTCTTCCCCCTCCTCTGGAACGTGACTGATGGGAGTGCCTGTTTCCAGGGAGCAGAGAAGTACTTGAACCGATTAAGAGAAGACACGTCTGGAGCCAGGCAGCTGCAGCCAGGGCCAAGCTTGGACCCAGGTGAGAATTGTGAACCTGCTTGGATCAGCCACGGTCAGAGGTGCACCTAGGCCACATATTAATTGTTCATTGCAATCATTGGTCTCAGCACAGAGAGGAACTCATGGGCTCTTCCTCGGCTTCCTGAGAAAGACTTTATAAATCAGTCCAGACGTGTTTATCTGAAGTTGATTCAAGAGGAAGGCAACAGTCTCCTAATTATCGTCCTGATTTCTCATTCTGTATTCACTTCTTGCATCCTCTACCTGTTTCCCAACAAATCTTCCCCAGATATACCCTGCACAAGTCACCTTGCTGCTAGGAAGCAATCAATAGCTCTCCAGTGCTCAAAGAACAAATTCACTCTGTTAACCTGGAGCTCCGTGCACTCACCTCCCCACCCACCTTCCCAGCTTTATCTTCTACTCTGGGGCCTAGCCCAGGCACTAGAAGCAGGGGCTCCTGGGTCTCTGACTCCTCTGGGGTGGGTGTGTGTGTGTGTGTGTGTGTGTGTGTGTGTGTGTGTCTTTGTGTATGCAAGTAAAGCAATTAGTAGCAGCATGTGGAACTGAACTGGAATGCGACCCCCATGCAGGATTTAACAGTTTCTAGCAGCTACTTTAGAAAGTAACAGGTGAAGTTAATTTTAATTAGATATTTTGTTTAATCCAACATATACAAAATATTATCACTTCAGCATTAATCAACATAAAAATACTAAGACATTATATATTCTTTTTTCATGCCAGGTCTTTGAAATCCAGTGTATTTTTTATACTGATAGCACATCTCAGTTTGGAGTAGCCGCATCTCAAGGGCTCAACAGCCACATGTGGCTTCTGTACTTGGCAACATCAGTGTATGGATTTCCTCATAGTCTCAAATATATCCACAATCTCTTTCATTCCATTCCCCTTGCAGGCTCAGCTTCCAAGAAAATGGAGGACTTCCCCACCTCTGCATTTTTGCTGATGCTCCTATCCCATCCCAAATGCACCCCCGCTCTAGTATCAAATAGATGCCGGTAGCAGAATACGCAGGAGTCATGTGGCATAGAGAAACACAGGGAAAGTTCAGTTATTTTGAATTTAATCTGTCAGTGTTACCGTTTTAGCTAATCACATGCCCTCTCATGTTAGCTAACTACCTCCCACAGAAACCAGAGCCCATGCTAATTGACCCTGCTTGTAGAGTGGCTATTTTGTATTTAAGCCTCAAAACATCCCTAAGAGGGTAGGCCTGGCAGGCTGGGGAGTGACCTGTGCTAACTGGCCGCTTAAGAGTGGTCAGAGGCCAGGCACGGTAGCACACGCCTGTAATTCTAGAACTCTGGGAGGCTGAGGTGGGCGGATCACCTGAGGTTGGGAGTTCAAGACCAGTCTGGCCAATGGGGAGAAACCGCATCACTACTAAAAAATACAAAATTAGCCAGGCGTGGTGGCACATGCTAGTAATCCCAGCTACTTGGGAGGCTGAGGCAGGAGAATCACTTGAACCCAGGAGACAGAGGTTGCGGTGAACCGAGATCACACTACTGCACTCCAGCCTGGTCAACAAGAGTGAAACTCCATCTCAACAACAACAAAAAAAGGGCAGTCAGATTGTGGGGACAGGGCTGGCTTCATGGGTGTGTGTTCTGCGCAGTCACTGGCTCTGTGTTCACAAGGACCTCACACAAGGCTTCATGCTTTGCTATTTCTGCCTTGAAATTCCTAATAATCTTTCAACAAGGAGTTCTCCATTTTTATCTTGCAATAGGCCCTACAAATTATGTACCAATTTAAGGGGAGGCAGCCCCCTAAGCAGCTTCCAAAAATAGCTAGAGCCACCCTCTCCCAGCCTTGCTATTGAGTGGTACGTTATGAGAAAGCAAACCTTGGGCCAAATTCTGCCAAACATATGACCTTTATGAGCAAGCTGACACATGACAGAAACCACACAGGGCATCTCACACGCTCTGCACTCAGGCCTCTAACAAACACTTCTTGAGAAAGGTTCAACCAGAGGAGGGCACTGTGGCAATCGAACAGCAGAGCCAGACCACCCACACTCAGGTGACACAGATCAAGTGTGGGGACCCAGGACCGACAGGCACTGACCTCAAGTGCTGCTCCAGAGTCGCTGGTGCCAGGGTCTGGTCACCTTTCTCATCAACCACAGTGCTTGAACATCATTCATTTTGCTAGTAAAACATTACATGTAGCGCACCTTCTGCTAAGAACAACTCTCTGATGTGCATTTATTTCAATGGTATTTGAGGTAAGTACAATATGGCCTCTGGCACGTGCAGCTCAGAATGGAATACTTCGCTTCCCCGAACCTTAGCTTCCTCTTTTAAAAAAATGAGCAGAACCTGGCGGGATGTGGTGGCTCACGCCTGTAATCCCAGCACTCTGGGAGGCTGAGGTGGGTGGATCACAAGGTCAAAAGATCAAGACCATCCTGGGCAACATGGTGAAACCCTGTCTCTACTAAAAATATAAAAATTAGCTGAGTATGGTGGCACGTGCCTGTAGTCCCAGCTACTCAGGAGGCTGAGGCAGGAGAATCGCTTGAACCTGGGAGACAGAGGTTGCAGTGAGTTGAGATCGCGCCATGGCACTCCAGCCTGGCAACAGAGTGAGACTCCGTCTCAGAAAAAAAGGGGAGGGGGGCAGGACCCATAGTTTGCAGAATGGGGAGTACATGTACCATGCCTAATGCAAATGTTTGCTATGAATGGTGTTCAACAATGGGTAATAATCTTCAGATACACCACACACATTATAAAATCCCAGTTTCCAAACAAGAAGACAAAAGGGCACACTTATGACAGTTCTGTAGCACAAATGCAAAACAAGTTACATTTAAGGTACAGGAGCAACCTTGCAAAACCATTCCTCTATCAACTATAACACTGCATATGAGCCAGGAAATCTTGCATTCTGACAGCCTTCCAGAGGCAAAGGAAAGTTATGTCCCAGCAACTAATTTTCACAAAATTTGGAACTCACAAACAGGTAGAACTGAATTGAATTCCAAATAATAATTACCACCACTACCTAGATTCAGCAAAACACCTGTACACCCCACACTTTCAAATCTTTTGTTATTACCCAAACTGGTCAAGGCTTCCTTTGGTGCAATTTCAGAAACTGTCATTGATTTTCTTTATGCAGAAAACCTGTCCTGCACGAACCTGGCCAAGCTAAAACACATCTTCCAGTGTGTTCTATGAGAGTCCCAAATGCAGTTTCCTGTCCCACCGCACAGTGAGACAGGCCTCCGGGTTCACTACCAGGCTGGGGAACAGCCACGAGTCTCTGGCCTTCAGCTCCTGACTAGCGGCAGAAGCAGGACAGCTGCACCCATTTGACTTTGTAACACAGCCCATGTTTTACATGAAATTCTACTGGGGGAGACACTGTTTTACTGTTTTACATTCTTCCAGGTCAATAGTTCTCAGTGTTTGGTCAGTCTGAAGACCTCTAGAGGTCTCTGGGAGCCTTTTATGTCCTCCCCGGCTTTTCCAGGTATAGATCTGGGCAAGGTCAGCTTTTACTTTATATGCTTTAAATAACAAGCAAAACAGATTAAATGAAGCAAATAAAATTCAGCAGATTCTACTAAATCAGACATTAAAGAGACTTGCTTTTAAATGTAAAAACAGTGTCACTCTTCTAATTTTATTTTGTAAAACATTTAATAATTTTTATTAAAATTATTTTTGCATATAGCTATGCAAAACTAAATACAAATCAAATACATACTAATCTCAGTTTAAATTAATTGCTAATATGGTAAATATTGATAGAAATTATCCATGGAAACAAAAGCTCTTTGGGCTACTCAATAATTTTAAAAGTGAAAGGCATCCTGCCATCTAAGTTTGGGAAC